CATTTGTTTGTTTTGTTGCTGATTAAAAATATTACCGTGACAATTATTCATGATGTGTGCCTAAAATACAGTATTTTGTAAAACACAGATAACAGGATAAATCAAATGTCACCATTCTTTTTTCATAATAAATCGAAAAATAGATCGAAACTAAACCTCCGATGACGTCATTGTATCATAACAAATAAAACACCTGGTGGGCGTCATATTGGTTTACTTGGTTTCATTTACGCGTGTAAAATACAATGTTTGTTTATATTAAATTCGAACACGCGCTGCGCGACGACCGCCGACCTTTAATGGGCGGTGGTCGTCGCGCCACGCATGCGCGGGATATGAGAATCATGTGAACAAAGATGGCGACTGTGCCTGTTGCGCATACCAACGAGAACAACCTGGGACGTTACCAAGCTGTAACTAGGTAAGTAGGTAACTTGGTGTTTGAAAGGATCACCGGCAGTAATTAGTGTACGTTACACCCAGGTCAAAATTCGTACTCGTGATTTTCATTAGAAGAACGCATTGGGTTGTGGGAAAATCAATCAACACAAATGTCACACATGCGCGGCGCGACGAGCACCGCCCTTTAACCGAACTAGGCGGGCGGGGAGGTGGTGGCGCCTTTTGAAAAGGTGAAATTAAAAAATGTGTACCGCCATTGTTATAGTCTGTGTGAGCAAATAATATCATATCTATCATAGTATAACTCCCATCTATTATAATAAGTCTAGCGGCACAGTCTTAACAGTGTTCCACACTCTTGGACTAGACTCATGGGCTTGTTTTGACTCATAAAAAAAGAAATAAGACACTACTTGCGTTCATTTTAGCGGCCCGAACTCAGACACGTGACTTGGAAAACATAGACATTGTTTTGTTAGATGTTTTTGTTTCAAACATAGCCTCATGTTTTGGGTTTAGTTTATGACCATTATTATGTTTACTGCTGGCCTGAAAAGGTGGGGGTGTAATAACATCCGTCCTTGAATATTGTAGAATGCTCCCCAATACCAAAGAATTTCAACATCACATGTCACGCTTGTACCATTGTCATGAATTTGTTTTCGCGTATCTGTTGACCGACTTAATTAGTTGATTAATAGCTGAATTGCTGTGTTATGTCTGTCATCGTTTAGGCCTATTTGAAGTTTTGGACGGAACTTGGCTCAGTGATTTGGAACTAATTACCAGCTAACCGTCGCGATTCTGACAGTTTATATTCATAGTTATTAATGTAGTGAACGATTAATCAAAAGATATGACGTATTCAGTACTTAGTGTGATTGGCTTTATGATTGAAGGTTACGCCTTAGAGTCGTTTTACTGTTTTGTAATTGGTTAGAGTTTTGAAAATGAATAAAGAGAGTTTGAGTTGGTCTTGGCGAATACTCCACGACAGACGCAGTCCTGGGCAGTCGAGAGTCCAGTCCAGGGGCGAGCCTTGAGGCAGTCCAGTCTTGGGCGAGTCTTGGTTCAGCCTTGTGAGAGTCTTGGGGATTTTTTCCCCAGGGCGCTGTGTCTTATATAGAGTGCTCGATTGACCGACTAAGACGAGAGCTGAAACGTATTTCGTTGTGTGTGCCTTATTTGACTGTAAAGTATAAATGACTTTCCCGATCCCGTACCTCAAGGGGACGAGAGAGAGACGAGACGAGATTCCCCCCTGACAAGTATGGAGAACCCCGAGAGAGAGAATTTTACCCCCTGATACCATAAAAACTATGGTACATTCTGTTGCTGAATAAATGAAATGGACGGAATGAGTGTGTATTTTTTCAAAATTGAACGCAGACTGACAAACGCATGTGTTTGAAATAGAATGCAAAGAACTTGAAATCAGGCGTATTTGCATGACGTCAGCAAAGGCATGATGACATCATAAATTATATATAAACATCGATTTTGTTAATTTGATCAGCCATATTCAAACGAACGAGATTGGTTTCAAATGAAAACAGTTGGGTTTATAATTTTGTATCCACTGTATGACCTAACAATATACTAGTAAATTAAATCGCGCATTGAATAAAATGTTATTATTATTACGTCCAGGGTTCTTAGTGTGTTAACTTTTCCATGTACACCACGCCTACTGTTACCATGCATGCCTAGCATTCCTTATTTGGCAAGTTATAAAGTTCAATCATACGTTATGGTTTCGTCACAATGGACTTAGACACAAAGGAGATGAGATTCGTGCCTGGTTGAGTAGGCATTTGACCATTTTCTCGGGGATTAGCTCCTTGGCTGACGCCCAAAGAACAAAATATGCTATCCGTCATCTTCCGAATAAAGTAACAACATGCGTGACATTTGATGTTTATATTGGGGAGCAATCCGCAATACTCAGTGACGGGTGGTGTGCAAGAAGTCTTATAAGAGAGTGCTGATGTTATAATGTATATTATTATAGTATACTATTTTAGTAAATTATTATAGCTGTGGGTTTCTGGCAAAATGTTTTTTCACTGTAGCTATGCAAATCGAATAAAATTGTGAGCCTATTATTTTACAGTCTCTCAGGCTCTCACAGGTGTAGCACTGTAACGAGCACTTATTAGAGACGTAATATTCATCTGCATAACGACAGGAGATCGAGCATACCCACCCTGAAGAAATAATACGTATTATTATTATAATACGTATAAGATTAACAATAGACAGATATTAACACGGACTAGTACCACCTCCGTGTATGCTTTAAATTATACGCACATACATGATAGTAATAACTGGGTCAGTTAACAATGCAATTGTACATTACCATCTTTGTTTTCTTAATTGTGTATGCAAAAAGTAATTACAATGTGCACTTTTTATTTTATAGCTAGTTTACATATTAATAAATTGGATAACTCGGCTAAGACGCACGGTGGTCCCCTTGTGGTCAGTTTCATATACCGCACGCTATATTCCGCTGTAATATTAGAAGAAGCAATGTGTCCCTTTTATTCAATCATTAAATGGGTATGGCTGAATATATACATTTGTTAAATGTTAAATGTCACCTGTTTTCATATTTATCTCTGTACATTATCGCAGTTTTCAAAGCAAAGCTAACTACGTAACTAAAATAGAATTTGTTTTCCAAACTCACCGCTGGTGGCAGTATTCAGTACACTCATACAGATGACAAGAAATAAACTCTACTTAGATTAATACTTAGAAAAACCCCAGATCAATGAGTCGTGTATTTAAGAATGACAATAATTAAGGGTCGCTTATTTTGGTATAAATTTGAAACAAAGTCGGAATCACAGTCACGGTCACAGGCAATTTAGTGTGCGAAGGAAACTGCGCTATATCCATTTCTTATTTGTGCACAGGCCCTAAACCTCTCCTGGTCTTTAAGGGCGGTAGTCGTCGTGTCACGCATGCGCGAGATATATTGGTCTCATATAACAAAGATGGCGACTTTGACTGTTGCGCAGATCAACGAGTACAAACTGGGACGTTACCAAGCTTTAATTAGGTATTTTTTTAGGTGATTCGAAGATATAGAAGTCACCGGCGGTAATTAGTGTAAGTCGCGCCCAGGTCGAACCTTATATTTGTGATTCCAATTAGAAGAGCGCATTGGATTATTGGAAAATCAATGTTTATCAACAGAATGTCAAACTCCTCACCATAACACTCGCAGATCTCAACGAGCT